CAGTTACCAGCATCTAATTTTTTTCACCATCCCCCAGTCCTGACATATATGTGTTGTTTTGAAAAACCTTTTGGATCCCTCTGACCAAGGTTCTTGGGCCATGACAGCCATGACAGCTGCAACCTGGAAACGCAAAGAAACAAATCTCGGACTCATGTTTTGCGAGCCATGGAGGTTGATACGGGGCAAGAAGGCCAGGGCGCTTTCGTTGTTGTATAATTGCCCTTTTTGAACCGTCCATCGCTTTCCACTGTGCATGGAGCGGGTGCCTGAACCCAAAGCAGCAGGGGGGACGGCACCTCCAGAGAGCCTCTCAAGCAAGACGGGTCCGAAAAAGCATGGGGGCTCAGAGGGGTCGTTCCTTTTTCGAAAACCCAAATGGCTGGCCGGCCCTGAAAACCGAAGATTCAGCAGCTTCAAGTCCATGGGCCCCTGCGATTTTTCCAACGCTGCTCATTTTCAACTACTGCAGGGAAGAGCTTGCAAAGACGTCACGCTCTCGGCTATAGGTTTGAAGAAGAACCCTGCTGAGGTGATGCTTGTGGCGGTGCGACCGACAAGGAGCACGCGGGCCCGAGAGATTACGTGAACTGGTGGGTACCCGGCGAGAATGGGCCAAACAAGTCAAGGATGATGTTTGCTCAGATTGCTGATTTCCTTGGAGGAAAGGCCTGGAAACAAGGGTGCGGCTTGTGAAATACCACGATGTTCTCCAGGCCTCAGGGCAGATGACGCGGGTGCCGAGGGCACAGGTCACCAAGAAGAGATGGGAACAGTGGGACAGATAATGCGACAGATGGTGATCGGTTCTGTGGCAGAATTGAGAGAGCAACCAAGGCTGTTAGAAACTGAATTGTAGGTCAGTGGGACTTGGACATGCCAAACTTGGGACTTACTAGCAAGAATGAAGCTACTTTGCCATTCCATTGTGCCGTGTTCCAAATCGTTGCAGAGCTGTTTGATGCAGATGCTGTTGGGTTTTCACATGCCAGATGTACTGTACGCATTTTCGCTTGTGGCGTCGGCAGGGGGTCGGCAGATTGTCCCCTTGCTCCATCTGTTGTCCCCTCTTCTCTGACGCGCTCCCCCTGCTGTCGGCAGGGTCGGCAGATTACATGATATGGCCCTGGGAGAATCTTTGCTTATTATTCACAACGTATATATATATATCCAGTTGACGGTTTTGCGCGCTCGAGGGTAAATGCACTTATCCGCGGACACTGGCGCTCGTTCCAAGGCCTCCAAAACTACAGGTCGGGGACTCAAAACATCATAAACATCTCAGAATGTTTCAGATCATGCTGTGACACCCCCTCTCTGGTTTCCTGCCAGTTCATCTCAAAATTTATGTTTGCCGCCGAACTGCTCAACTGGGAGTTGCCCCCGGGTTGTTACGATTATTTCGTAGCCCTTGTCCGCATGAGGATCCAGCTGATGCCCTTGAGACCAACAGGAAACTGCATTCTTTTGTCCAGCACCAAAGTGTTTGGTCGGGGTCTAAGAGGATTAAGAAGTACAGGTCATGAATTTCAATGAAGAGGGTTCAACTGAAGGATATTGAAAGATTTTGAAAGGATCCATATACGGATCCGTTACCGCTACGGATCCGTAAGGATCTTTAGGTTTGGAACACATCTGGTGATGTTACACGATGCAGATCGCTGCAGCTTAGGAATGCCAACCGCGTCGCCAGGGCAGAGGTGGCACAGGGGGCCATTCTGTAACATCACCGTTTTCAAATGTGTAATAGCTGTACGATGGTGTAACATGTAACATTAACAAGTTTTCATTGCAAGTTCAAGTCTCATGATGTCTTGATGTAAAAACGATTTACAATATTCACATTGATTCACGACGTGATTATTGATATTTATTGGCCCATTTTCATCGGGGCTGTTAAGTTGCTTACGGAGGGTTTGCCAGGGATCCACCAACGTTTCATTCCAAAGAAGCGTTTTGTGTGTTCAAGAGAGAGTACAAAACGCTTCTTGCGTTTTTTTCCTTGAAATGATGCCAAAAAAACGCTTGTTTCAAAATTACATATCTACAATCACTGCAGTGAAAACTTGATGCGATTCTGACACCTCTTGGTAAAAAACCTGAAAACCTGGTGAAAACTTAGTGGAAACCTGGTGAATTTCCAAAACCTGATGAAAGACCTGGTGAAAAAACCTGGTGGATTCACCAAGTTTTTTTTGGTGAAAACTTGGTGAAATTTGAAAACCTGGTGCTCTGAAAACTTGGTGAATTCACCAAGTTTTTTTTTGGTGAAAACTTGGTGAAATTTGAAAACCTGGTGAAAACCTGGTGAATTCACCAAGTTTTTTTTGGGTGAAAACTTGGTGAAATTTGAAAATTTGGTGAAAACCTGGTGAAAACCTGGTGAATTTCACCAGGCTTTGGAAAAATCACAAAATCAAAAATCAAGAAGCGTTTTGCACCTCTGAAATTCACCAAAAGAAGCGTTTTGAGCATTTTTTTGGTGAAATTTATCCGTTTTGGCGGTGAATTTGAAGAAAAAAATCACCAAGGTGACAACTTGGTGAAAACCTGGTGAAAACCTGGTGAATTCACCAAGTTTTCTTTTTTTGGTGAAAACTTGGTGAAATTTGAAAACCTGGTGAAAACCTGGTGCATTCACCAAGTTTTTTTTGGTGAAAACTTGGTGAGAATTGAACACCTGGTGAAAACCTGGTGAATTCACCAAGTTTTTTTGTGTGTTTTTTTTGTGAAATTTCAAAACCTGGTGAAAACCTGGTGAATTCACCAAGGTTTTTTTTTTGGTGGTGAAAACTTGGTGAAATTTCAAAACCTGGTGAAAAACTTGGTGAAAACCTGGTGAATTCACCAAGTTTTTTTTGTGGTGAACACTTGGTGATTTTTGAAAACCTGGTGAAAACCTGGTGAATTCACCAGGTTTTTTTTTGCTCTGGTGAAAACTTGGTGAAATTTCAAAACTTGGTGAAAACCTGGTGACAACTTGATGAATTCACCAAGTTTTTTTATTTTTGGTGAAAACCGGCTGAGATTTATAAACTTGGTGAAAACCTGGTGAATTCACCAAGTTTTTTTTTGTGATGAAAACTTGGTGATATTTGAAAACCGGGTGAAAACCTGGTGAAAGCTTGATGAATTCACCAGGTGTTTTTTATTTTTGGTGAAAACTTGCTAAAATCAAAATTTGGTGAATTCACCAAGTTTTTTTATTTTGGTGAAAACCTGGTGAGCTATTTCAAAACTTGGTAACTTGGTGAAAGCCTGGTGATTCTTTAAACAACTTGGTGAAAACTTGGTGAGCTGATTAAACGTGGACCTTGTCTTGGTGAAAACTGATGGAATCCTGGTGAATTTGCAAAACCTGGTGAAATCTTGGTGAATGCCAAAACCTGGTGAAAACTTGGTGAAAACCTGGTGAATTCACCAGGTTTTCACCAAACAAACGAAAGAAGCGTTTTGCGCACTGAAGGGTTCTGGTAAAACGCTTGTTGCATTCCACACCCGAAATAGTATAATGAAAACGCTTGTTGCCTTCCAAAATTAACAAATAAGCAACTTGACAATCGGGGCTTGAATTTCCTCTGGGAAATACGTTGGCCTGTTTGGACCATTTTGGACCTGAGAATGGTACCCGAAATACATCTTGGGCCTTGCAATTTGTACCAGAACCATTTTACCATCAAAAAAAGAAACCTGGTTTGGCATTTTGTAGTGTTTCCATGTTGTTCCAAAATTGTGGTTTCTTGAAGGCTTTACTTTAGGATTTTGCATTTTGTAGGGCACTTCTTGTGCAATCATGGCACATTTGTTATCCTGGTTCCCGCGCTTTGTAGCAGCATTTGGCCGATCATCTCTAGAATGGTTAAAAAACGAGATCTGCTCTAGAATGGTTAAAGCAGGGCTGGCTGATTCAAGGGCGGTTCCAAGAATCGTCCATACAAGATGCCAATCACACGTTGGATCTCAGCTTTGTGGTTACAAGGAATTTGAACACAGATTTGAACTTGTGTTGGACAAAAAGAGCACGAACCTAGTAGAACCGGACACACTTGGATTGTAATTAATTACAAAAAAACGGGCAGACAAAAAAATAATCGTTCAGATATTTTTTACCGCGACTGGTCAGAACTATGGAACAGCTAAGACGGACTTTAATTCTAGTCTTACAGTTTGAATTTCACACGATTGGTTTTGAAGCACAATTTCTCCCACCATTTTCTTCTATTTAAAGTCTCTGCCAATTTGTTCCTCGGACGTTTTTGGGCTCATCTGCAGAGGAACTCAGTAGGCTCTACATGGCTCTCCAAAATGTTTGTGCACGCGTTTTTCTACCACAAAATGCAAAATGAATGCATTTGCATATAGTTGAATTGAATTCAATTTGTCAGCTAATCACAGTTCGGTACAAAATGCAAATCTCATGGGGGACACAAAGGGGTACATTTTTTTGGGTGGGAAGTAAGCTTCGCTACAAAATGCAAACTGCAAGTGGTAGCATCCCCTAACTATCGTACCGAATATTCATGTTGGGTACCCTATTTTTACGGTTTTTTTTCTTCCCCTCCCCGGGGAATTGTTTCCCGGCTAAGTTCTCGCAGACTGAGACTGGTGTGCCAGGGAAGCAAGGCAGCAAGCAAGCAAGCAAGCCGGCCAGCAAGCAAGCAAGCAAGCAAAGAAGGGAGCCAGCGAGCAAGCAAGCAAGCCAGCTAGCAAGCGAGCGAGCGAGCAAGCAAGCAAGCGAGCAAACCAACCAAGCAAGCAAGCAAGCAAGGGAGCAAGCAAGGGAGCCAGCGAGCAAACAATCTTTCTTCGAGGAATTTCTGTCGGAACCGAGGTTGTAACTAGCTATTGGCCCTATACACCCATATCTATTTATACTTATGCATTATATTTGCTAGCATTGATGGAGAGAAAGAAGGGGATATTGTAGGCGTCGAAGCTACTAGTAAGTGGGATGAAAGTCTAAGTAAGTGAGATGGTAGTCATTTAGTAACAACAACAACAACAACAACAAGAACAACAACAACAACAACAACCATCACAACAACAACCATCGCAACAACAAACATCACAACAACAAACATCACAACAACAAACATCGCATCAACAAACATAACAAAGAAACAACAACAAACATAACAAAGAAACAACAACAAACATTATACAACAACAGACAGCACAACAACAAACATAACAGCAACAAACGTAACAACAACAAATACAACAACATAGAAAGTTCCAGCTCCCAAGTTCTACAAATAGCACGCCAACTGAAAGGTTCCTGGGCGCAAATGCGGCAAATAGCATGATAAATAGAAGGTTCCTGCGCCCAAATGCGGCAAATAGCATGCAAAATGAAAAGTTCCAGCGCCAAAATGCTGCAAATAGTATGCAGCATGGAAGGTTCAGCTCCAAAATGCTGCAAATAACACGCAAAATGAAAGGTTCCAGCTCCAAAATGCTGCAAATAGCATGCAGCATGGAAGGGAAGTGGCAGGATAGATGCAGGGGACGGAAAACAGAACAGATCAGGAAAAAAAATCCCCGGGGCAGGGGAAAAAATTCCACGGCGAGATTCGGCACCCAGCGGGGTATGGTTGCATTTTGTAGTGGCCCTACCTAACCTGGTTTTGCATTTTGTACCAAGCTGTGCCTGGCTACGCGTTGTATTTGTAGTGGGCAGCCTGGGTGGGCCTGATTATGACTTACAAGATCTGGGCGCAGGTCCTATGTCTATATTCCAACGGCGATCCATTTTTTTTCTTTGTTTGGTTTCATCAGTTCCGTCTGGATTTGGAGAACACAGCGGGCACAAATGTGTCTGAAGTTTGTTCAGTCTGAGAGGCCGAGCGTGTCAAACAATTGGATTCGGAACGCTTCAGTCTCAGGTTTTGTCAGAAATTAAATATCAGCTGATTCTCAGACACAGATGTATTTAGACTCTCTTAAATCACATGGAGTCACAGGAGGGAGAAATCCAGAGACGAGAGTGCCAGAAGACCGGCTGTGCACGATGAGAGGACGTATATTGATCACCTTTTCCATCTGCTCAATATCAGGTAGAAGTAGAAGTTGGAAGCACAGTCCTCTGGATCATGTACACAGCACCTGAAAATAAGAGGAATGACATCCAGTTCGTGCACACGCACACATCACATGTATAACACGTGGTTGAACGCATGCACTTGCACACAATATACGAAATTGCCAAGACTGACGGTGGAAATTCTACAACACACAGAGAGCAAGAAGACGCTGGCTCTGACACTTAGTGTATTGTGGGAAGGGTTCACCAATTGCTGGTCAGCAGGGCCGGTAGAACAAGGTGTGTCCGCTTGTTGGCGTACTCCCTTGATCGAAGTTTGATTATTTTGATTGGGTTAGTTCGGTATTGCCCGAGCCATTGGTTGAGTCGTCGCTTTTGTCCGACACATGCCCAACCTTCCATCCTGGCATTCCACCATGCGGGATAATGTGACAGAACGCCTACAATTTGTTGCCTTCAATTAATGCCAATGCTGGCTTTGACACCATTTCGGACGAGGTCGTGAGCATGTCCGTTCTGCTGAGGTAGGTATTTGGAGGAGAACAGTATTCATCGATCCTTGACGCCCGTCCATGGAAGCGGCCTAAGTTTCAACTTGCCAGTGGCTGCGGGCATCCAAAGCATGCGCCTTAGGCTGCTATGATCGGCTTTACAAGGACATTTGGACGTGCTCCATAGTGCTCCATCCCACAGCACTATTTGAGGAAGTGTAAGATCGAGCCTGCCATCACCAGGACTTTGACAAGCGGGCAGCCCGTTTGGAAAAGCTACGGAATGCTCAGCAAAGTGAGGACTTTTAGCTTTTGTGACATGTTACAGTGGCAGACAAGTTTTAAATGTATTCTTCGCAAGTCATGATAGGGATGCGCGGGTTTTTTGGCCTGTAGATGATTTGTTTTGGCATGTTCATTGGGAGCAAAATCCTCCTTCCACATGCGAAATCCTTGTGCTTTTCATGGCATCAGTTCCAGCCACATCGTGTGGCATGAGGATCGGATGACCCCTAAAAGCTCCCCAAGGCAAGGTGTGTTTTCAATGAGTCCCGTGACAGATGGAACGTGGTATTTTCGCTTAACCTCCAGCTGCTGGGGAAACACAACTATCTTACGGTGTCTCAGAAAGATACCTGAGATTGCGGTGAAATAATGTAGATAAAATTTATGACTTGAAATGTCTCGATTGTTGAAAAGGCCCGGCGTGGACACCACAGAGGCGCTATTGAATTGCTGAGACTGTCAGACCGTATCAGACCTTGATGCTTTTTCTGCGCCTTTCGGGGGCAGGTTTCTACACGTCTCCACGGTCACTTTGAGGAGAAGTGTAGCAATGCTGGAAGCACGATGAAGCACGGGGGGTGGCACAAAGCGCTCTCCTAAGCTCCATGACATGGGGAGAAAATGGCGCAGAATGTCCCAGAAATGAAGCTATGGCTTGGAAGCGCAGGTGTCGATCGATACATACTGCAGGCTCAGTCTTTCCATGCCAGGAGAGGAAGAATCGTTTGGATCAGAAGCGGAAAGAACAGGCCACTTGCACCGCCTATGCCGTTCCTTTGGTAATCTTTGGTTATGGTATGTTATGGTCAATGATGAGCTTTGACGGATTCGAGGAGGAATACATCCGTTGGCGCTCGCAAGTCCAAAACTCAGCGAACATGATTTCACAAGTAGAACTAGCTGCAATAGGCCAAAGGTATCCGAACATAGATTCAGTGGTGGCCCCGGTTAGGATCCTCGCTCGGTTCGTTCAGCTCGGTCTCAAAGTCCCAGAACTCCCTCTACTGCAACTGCCTTGTGACTTGACGGGGGCGTGATGCTTCGGGGGATGCTTTGGGACAATGCCATTGGATAGTCAGCGACACCATGCGGTGCACAATGAATAAACGCCAACAAATTTCTCCTGTCATCTCCTGCCGTAGAGAATTTAAAGGAACACAAAGGAAGAGGAACGGAACAATTTGGAATCCAATCTGCTCCAGGGTATTCCGGGTGGACCCCATCCAGCAGGTCACAAACCTCGAGCGAAAGCACCTGGAGAACTCGACCAGGAACACCCAGAGGTGCCAGCACTGAACGACACAGATCTCATCAGATCTCTGATTTTCCCTGCGGTACCCGCCCAAGGTGCCATCGTGCCATCGTTGCAATTTTTATTTTAATTAATTATTTAATCAAGGTTCTTTATGGGGACCCCATTGGGACCATCATGCAACTAAGATCAACTAAGTACAATTTACAAGCAGTCTATAATCACAGCCTGGGAAAATCGCAAATATGGAAGCCTCACTAAAGATTTTGCCTTTTATGCACATTATTTTGCATCTTTGTGGCAAGCATTGCCTTCCAGGCAACTCGCGCTCTGCCTCCATCTCAGCAAGATACATCCAGTGATGCAGCGCGCTTTGAATTTAACAGGCAGGAGATGCCAGGAGTCTATTGTATTTCAGATGGTTTGAAGGTTTTTGCTTATGTTTTTTGTTTCTATAGGTATAGATCTGGCATGAGCTGGCAAGCAAGATCAAAAGTTGACGCGAACCCAGCAGTGCTGTGAGGTCACCCCTGACAAGTCAAGATCTCCTCGGAATGTCCCCTCGTCGCATTGTGAAATGCTGTGAAAGTTAAAAAGCATGCTATAGCATGATAGCAATATAAAGCATGATGCATATGACCGGTTACAGCAAGATAAGAGAGCCGAGGCTGCGAGGGCAGGTGCCAACAGTGCCAACCAGGGCAGCAAAGAGGCGAAGCCAGAACTTGAAGCCCCGCGAAAGCCACCACAGCCACAACCAGATCCGCAAGACCAACCGACAGAGGCGAAGGCAAAGTCAGAGAAGTCGGAGACGAGTCTCCGCGCAGAGGTGGAGGTGAGCATAATTTCTGCCAGAGGGGCTATTCTTATGGAGACGAAAGATGATTCCTGGAAGCTTGGTGAAGATACGAATCAATATAAGTTAATTGTAATTATATCATTTTTTTCGCCTGAATGCCAAATTTTCTGTATGTTTCTGTCAAATTTGAGACTCAAGGAATTTAGTGACTTTGCCCAAGGGGAGCTCCAACATGCTCTATGTTCCTCTCGCATTGGCTCCTTTCAGTCCTGTTAACGTGCAAGGTGTATGAAGTCCGGCAGTGTGCTTGATGTGAGATTCGGTGAGATGTTTTGGACAACTATACGTCATGTGTATGGACACGTACTGTCAGGAGATTGTAGGAGTAGTCCTTGTTTTGCATATTGCCAAGGACACACGGCTACAAAAAGAGATATGATATATACCTAAAAGTTGATGTGTGATGTGTCCGGGTCTCCGTTGTACTCCAAGGACTTGCTCTGTCGAGGTGGGCGCAGCAGCGAAACCCAAGAAGATCATTTTGCAAACGGAGCAGCAGATGGGCCGAAGCCCTGTGTGGGATTCCAAAGCCCAAGCGACCTTGTTCCAGCCCGATGTCCTTCAGTCCCTTGGACAGCGACTTATTGACTTTCGATCACTGCAGCATATTGCAGCATACAGTAGCCAAGCCAATGCATGTAGCATGACATGCATGGAGCCAATGTAAGCCACTGGCGCAGCATCGCCCAGGTTCAAGATATGCAACGCGGTTGGGTGCATGGCGCAAACCTCGTTGAGTGTGGCATCCATCCTCATGTTCCGAACTGAGACCCTTCGAACAGCTCCAAAATCTTCAAACGCTTCAAACTTCGAAGGTTTTACTATTCAAGTCTTTTATTAATGTCTCAATGTGTTTCATGCTGTCATGCTGCACAGATGCCCTAGCACTGTGGAATCTGTGACTCGCAAACTTGTTTAGGATTTGCTATTCTGGTCCCGAACTCAATATCTCAATGGTTTCTCAATGATTTCTCCATGTATCTCAGCACTTGGAACATCTTGAACACAAAATGTTGGGCTTCCAAAGGCTTTGATGGAGAGCTCAAGCTACAGCCAACGTCACCGGTGGCGAAGCGGGGCGACGAAGACGAAGACGAAGATGATGCGACTTATCTTCACGCTGCTTGGAGCATTTTAGGTTGGACAGATGGGCTTTCGATGCAGGTCGGGGTGCCTCTACTGAAGACCGTTCTGCGCGAGAGTTAATGGGTTCAGCCATGTAATTTTGCACAGATTGCTGACGTTTGCGGATTTCTGAATCAGTCCTCCTCCTCATGACATATCGATTCACTTGGTTTTTCGCCACGCCTTTTGCCTCACCTTTGCTGGATCGGAATGATTTCAGTCATTTTTGAGAGCCTCAGGTTTCGATGCGGGTTCTGGTCGTCACAGCGACTGAGCGATCAATGACGTATGATAATAATCAATATTCATATAAATCTATATCAGACACGATGTGAGACATTGGTTTCAATTCTTCTTAATGTGGGTACTGATTAGTGTAGGGCCCCCCGCCTCCCCCCTAAACAAATGTAGGGTACACAACAGTGTGGAAATTTCAAGGGACCGGGTTCACAATAGTGTGGAATCCAAAACTAGACGACGGATGGCCCGAGAGCGTAGAGGGGCAGGGTCTTTTGTTGTTAGTATTGAGACACTATATTACAATTACAAGACAATATATTTAAAATGTATTATAGGCAGACGAGACAAGTAGTATCAAGACAATATATTACAAGTACAAGACACTAGTTTGCATTGTATCGTTCGTATTGTTTTTGACACACAGAATCTTTTACACACAGACGCTTTTGCACAGAAGCTGTTACACACAGGAGCTTTTACACACAGAGACTTTTACACACAGACGCTTTTACACACGGAGAAGCTTTTACGCACAGAAGGTTTTACACACAGACACTAGACACTTTTACACACGCAGACACTTTTACACGCAAACACTTTTACATACAGACAATTTTACACACAGACACATTTACACACAGACGCTTTTACACACAGACGCATTTACACACAGACGCTTTTACACACAGAAGCGTTTACACACAGATGCTTTTACACACAGAAGCGTTTACACACAGACGTTTTTACACACAGAAGCTTTTACACACAGAAGCTTTTACACACAGACGCTTTACACACAGACGCGCTTACACACAGAGACTTTTACACTCAGACGCTTTTACACACAGACACTTTTACACACAGAAGCTTTTACACACAGACGCTTTTACACACAAACACTTTTACAGACAAACACTTTGACACACAGAGACTTTTATATACACACAGACGCTTTTACACACAGAAGCTTTTACACACATACGCTTTTACACACAGACGCTTTTACACACACACACGCTTTTACACGCACAAGCTTTTACACGCACAAGCTTTTACACAGAAGCTTTTACACACAGACGCTTTTACACACAGAAGCTTTTACACGCAGACGCTTTTAAATACACACAGACGGTTTTACACACAGACGCTTTTCCACACAGACGCTTTTACACACAGAAGCTTTTACACACAGAAGCTTTTACACACAGAGACTTTTACACACAGACGCGTTTACACACAGAGACTTTTACACACACAGGCTTTTACACACAGACGCTTTTACACACAAACACTTTTTCACACAAACACTTTTACACACAGATGTTTTTATACACAGACGCTTTTGCACACAGACGCTTTTACACACAGACGCTTTTACACACAGACGCTTTTACACAGACGCTTTTACACACAGACGGGTTTACACACAGACGCTTTTACGCACAGACTCTTTTACACACAGGCACTTTTACACACAGACACTTTTACACACAGAGGCTTTTACACAGATCGCTTTTACACACAGACAGTTTTACACAGACGTTTTTACACACAGACGCTTTTACACACACACACACGCTTTTACACGCACAAGCTTTTACACACAGAAGCTTTTACACACAGAAGCTTTTACACACAGACGCTTTTACACACAGAGGCTTTGACACACAGACACTTTTACACGCAGACGCTTGTACACACAGAGGCTTTTACTTGAAATCGCAATTTTATTTCAGTTTTTGGCGATCGAACCTCATTTCGTGCGAAACGGTTGCGCGGGACGGCTTGAAATCGCAATTTTACGTCAGTTTTTGGCGATCGAACCTCATTTCGTGCGAAAAGGTTGCGCGGGACGACTTGAAATCCCAATTTTACCTCAGTTCTTGGGACCCGAACCTCGTTTCGTGCGAAAAGGTTGCGCGCGACGACTGGAAATCCCAATTTTACCTTAGTTTTTGGGACTCAAACCTCAGATCCGAAAGGGTTCGCAGGACAACTTGGAAATCGCAATTTTACGTCAGTTTTTGGCGATTGAACCTCATTTCGTGCGAAAGGGTTGCGCGGGACAACTTGAAATCGCAATTTTACGGCAGTTTTTGGCGATCGAACCTCATTTCGTGCGAAAGGGTTCGCGCGACAAGAGGGACGACTGGAAATCGCAATTTTACCCGCAGTTTTTGCCACTCGAACCTCATTTCGTGCGAAAAGGTTGCGCGGGACCCTTTGAAATCGCAATTTTACGTCAGTTTTTGGCGATCGAACCTCATTTCGTGCGAAATGGTTGCGTTTCGTGCCGTCTCGTTGGCACTGCCCCGCGCCTTCAAGAGAGAAATAGAAAAGAAGGAGAGAGCAAGAGGGCACGAGAGCAAGAGGGCAAGAGAGAAGATGTGAAGATGAGAAGATGTGAAGATGTGAGGATGTGAAGATGTGAAGATGTGAGGATGAGAAGATGTGAAGATGAGCAGATGTGAAGATGAGAAGATGTGAAGGTGTGAGGATGTGAAGATGTGAAGATGTGAGGATGAGAAGATGTGAAGATGAGAAGATGTGAAGATGAGCAGATGTGAAGATGAGAAGATGTGAGGATAAAAAGATGCGAAGATGAGAAGATGTGAAAATGTGAGGATGAGAAGATGTGAAGATGAGTAGATGTGAAGATGTGAGGATGTGAAGATGTGAAGATGTGAGGGTGTGAGGATGAGAAGATGTGAGGATGAGAAGATGTGAGGATGAGAAGATGTGAAGATGAGAAGATGTGAAGATGAGAAGATGTTTTACAGACCCTCACTATTGGAAGAACCCTGCGCTCAGACGCTCTGGGGAAAAAATTGATCGATTTCAATTGATTTCAATTTACTTTCAATTGCTTTCAATTTACTTTGAATTGATTTCAATTTACTTTGAATTGATTTCAATTTACTTTGAATTGATTTCAATTTACTTTGAATTGATTTCAGTTTGCTTTGAATTGATTTCAAGTTACTTTCCATTTGCGTTGAATTGCTTTTAATTTACTTTCATTTCATTTAAATCTACTTTGAATTTCAATTTACTTTCAATTTACGTTGAATTGCTTTCAATTTACTTTGAACTGATTTAAATCTACTTTGAATTGATTCCAATTTACCTTCAATTTATTTCAATTTACTTTGAATTAATTTCAATTTACTTTCAATTTACTTTGAATTGATTTCAATTTCCTCTCAATTGATTTCAATTTACTTTCAATTGATTTCAATTTATTTCAATTGATTTCAATTTACTTTGAATTGATTTCAATTTACTTTGAATTGATTTCAATTTACTTTGAATTGATTTCAATTTACTTTCAATTGATTTCAACTTACTTTCAATTGACTTCAATTTACTCTCAGTTTATTTCAATTTATTTCAATATACTTTCAATTGATTTCAACTGGTTTCAATTTACTTGCAACTGATTTCAATTTACTTTCAATTGATTTCAACTTACTTTCAATTGACACCCCGTAGTAATCCCATAGAAAGATCATAGAAATACCATGGAAATCCCATAGGAATCCCACAGAAATCCCATAGAAAGATCATAGAAATAACATGTAATAGCATAGGAACCACTAAGAAACCCCATAAGAATTCCCATAGAAATCCTCTAGAAATATCAAAATATCATGGAAATACCCTGGAAACCCCACAGGAATCCAATAGAAATCCCACAGGAATCCAGTAGATACCATATGCATGTATGTATGTGAATATATATATATATTTATTTATTTATATTATATATATATCATATATATATATCATATATATATATATATGCGTGTGTGTGTGAATATGTGACATTGATTTCCATAATGTAAGTCCATATTCCATCTTTCTTGATTTCACGTTTTCGAGGGTTTTCTTTCTTATTTTTTTCATCAATCATCATCAATCCTGGAGTGGCTTGGAAATATGCTGAGGAAAAGCGGCAGATCCCAGACTGTGACGTGGAAAAGATCCCGGAAGAAAGCGAAAAAAATGCAGAAAGTGCACCTCATTCGCATCGCAAAGTGCATCCCCACGAAGGCTACAAGGCCAAACCCTATGGCATTGTCACGGAGCAGATGCGTCGTCAAACGGATAGAATGAAGGACAGAACGAAGCCAGGCATGTCTTTAAAGTCTTCAAAATCGTCAACGGTTGGCACTGCATTTCGCTCTGCCGCACCTGGCGGTCGGCAGTCTCAGGAGGCACCCAACGCACGCGGCGCATCACGGAAACCACTTGTGCAAAGCGCCCCGAAGGGCCCGAACGGCCCGCAGACCCCCAAGAGGAAGGAGACCAGCAATGCGGGCAAAGACCAACAGCCCCAAGACAGCAAAATACAAGTGCCCACGGAAGAACATAAAGTACAACCAGACCAACATCACCAACCACGAAAGCTGCGACAAAGGTCTAGGATTCGAACCATGCGGAGCGTTTCATTTGACAGGAGCACCAGGAGCACTCCGGGTGACAGCTATGAAGTTGAGATTCTTATCACAGAACCCTTCCTGACCGTCAACATCGAGGACGAGTTCCTGCCAAGACATTTAAGACGTGAAATGACTTGAGATTACTTGAGATGACTTGAGAATCTTGAGAGCACTGGAGCTGTTAACGAATCCAGCTGACCCAGCTGACCCTGACCATCACTGTATGATTTCAAGTTTGGGAGTGTCGACGTAATGTTTGTTTCCAATACAATTTCATTAGAAACTCACAAATCTACAAGAGAGATCTACATTCAATAATTAGGTTAATTAAAGGGAATTTGTGACACCCTGTCGAGTTTTGATATCTTGCGAACCATGTGATTTTGTTGTGGGTGACCCGAGGGTTCAGCCACATCACAGCAAATTTAGTGCAGCCGTGCAATCCGCGCAAATGGTTGGCAAAGCATACTGCTGCATACTGCTGCAGCCGATTTTAAAACAATGTCGCCTGACAATGAGCAATGCAACTTGCGTGCAATCAATCAGAAGACTTGACGGATCTATTGCCACCAACCTTTGTGAGTCGGCTTCTTGCGTGGGCACGGCTGTAGGACAACCAAGATCTTTTCAATGCAACATGTGCACAGAAGGGGTGTCAAGCACAACCAGCTGCGATGCACCAAAACCAAGTCCTGAGCGTGGCTTTCGCTGGAAGGAACGAAACAAAAGTTTCAAACGATTATTCAACCTCTCTGCAAAAAGTTGTTGCATCGATCACGACACCTCAGCGAATGACACTTGGCCGGCCGATGTTTCTGAAGCCATGACACCCAGCGAATCGGAGATCTTTCATGTACATTTAGATCATGTAGTTGTTTGCATTTAAGCACGCTGCATGGTAAAGTAGAGCAGAGTAGAGCAGTGGCATACATATAGGTTGAACACAAGACACGCATGCCATATGATTCTTGAATATGTTTGATGAATTCTTCTGTGTTGAACATGGCGGCTGGTGTGATGCAATTTCATGAAACAGCAGATGAGGAACAGAAACAAGTAGACACTTCGAAGGGTTGGATGTTGGCTTCGCCAGTAGCTGCCATTGTGCTGAACCATGGTTTGCAGAGGCTGGCTAAGCTTGTAAGTTTAAGTTCACCGTGTTCACCAAACGCAACCGTGTCAAATATTTTGACCACGAGAGGCGACATCTATCAGGCATGCCCTGCGTGCGGTCGTCCGGTTTGTGTTGCGAATCTCAAGCAGCACATGGACAACTGCGGCCAAGACAGGCTGGGTTCTCTTGTCCAGTTGCAGCCAGTGAGACACGGGCCCAGACGGGATTGTTTCAGTGCGACAAACGCGTCATGCATTTGGATGCAGTAAGAGAAGATAGAGAAGGAGAGGTGAACTTGAGAAGGGCCATTTCTTGCTGAGAAATGATATAGTGTAATAAAAGGTTTCAAGTTGTGAAGCTAAACCCGAGATTTGATGTTTTCACGCAAATCTTCTTTCCAACATAATCTGGTCAAAAGGGGCAAGTTTTTTTGGAGCGGATGGCGCTCTGCAAGGAATGATTTGCATGCAAGGCACTTGAAGACTTGCACACGTGAAGTGAAGAGAGACGTACGTAATCCGCAAAAATCCATGCGACTGATTTCGGTGCGAGGATGCAATTACTCCTTTTGAGCGCGCCCTGTGACACAGCAAAAAAACTGATGCAGATGATTCCCTGTAAGCATGCATTGCGCCCCAAGGAGACTGCGCCACTCTTTTTTTTGGAGTGTATGCTTATGCTATCTTATGCTGCATGTGTTTGTGATCGTTGGCCAGTGGTCTATACTAATGTCAAATGATACAAGACAAAGATGATCAGTGTAAGCAATGGGTGCAGATGGTTAGATGTGAGGTTTGGACGGTAGAGACCCTGCAGCAAAGAAGGGAAGAACCAACAACGGAAGAAGACAACAGCAAGCAGAACATTGGATGCAAAAGTGACCATTTAGTGCGCTAGTCAGGATGGACTGCGCATCATATCACATAATATATCATAATAATCCCCGTTCGAATTTCCTCATATTTTGGGAGGGGTCGACCCTCTTATAAATGGTTTATATATAGGCATTTTGTAGTTACAATAAGCCAATAAGCCCCCTAACCAGGGCATTTTCTAACAGGGCACCCAAAAGGCAAAGTTGCAGATTTTCAAGTGTTCATTTGGTAAGAGTTTTGAGGTGCCAATTCATTTTATAAGATCATCGAGTTTGTTTTTGCTGGGGCTTTTTGTAAGCTCAAGATGCTGTTATTGAACATCAAAAAAGACAAAAAACAAACTCAGCAGGGTGTGCAATGACATTTTGTAAGGAGATGTCATCAAGAGTAGAAGAACCATTTTATTAGATTATTAGAATATATGCTTTTTAGGCATTGATACTAAGTATTGTTCAGATTTGTACATGTTCTTTTGTGTTCAATTTTTTTGGGGGTACTCATGTGATAACACAAACGCGAGACATCATGAGAGGAGTTCTGGTAGGCAATGAGGCCAAAGAAGCAAAAATACAAAAATATAAAACAACAAAAAAGGTGGCAAAGAAAAGGAATCCTTATAAAAAGGCTGCTTGAAAATCAACGAGTCCGGGAAAACCAGAAACAGGGAACTAGAAGTTGTTTCCTTACAAAATGATGCCCGAAAACGCTATCTGAAATCACGACTTCTTATAAAAAGTATAAAAAGGTCATCGAGTAGGATACAACATTCATATCATGAAGAAAGTTGTCACCTCATAAAATGATATAGGTGTTTGAAGTCGAATGTGGGTGCTAAAAACCTATGTTTTTTGTAAGGGCCAAAATTCCCAAAAGCCAACTCTTTTTATAGGGTTTTTGGAAATCCCCCTGATTCATGGCTAGAAGAAGCCGGGCGCGCATCATATCGTATCACATCATATCCAATTTATTCAAATATCATCGTTCCATCTTGGAAGAATCATGTTGACCCATCATGCGAAGCAAATGGTTCTTCATTTTGCGCTTAAGATTGCTGAAACCATGATGTTCCATCGAAAAGGTCATGAGTCATGAGGTTGCTTGTTATGCCATGGTCTGCCGCCAGAAGTATGGACGAACTGAAGAATAAAACTGTCGCGCACACACACGCACAATGCCATGCATCGCCACAGTCACACTGTGCAGACTTATCTAACAGAGTCATCCAGTTTGCTCCCATTCCTCTTCCTTTGCTCCTCTGCACTCCCCACGGCACGCATCAACAAAACTTCAAAGTGCAATTTTGCCCGATTGAATTGTTGTGCTTCCCCGGATGACAGCAGTTGGTGCCGTGCAGGAAGCCTTTACGCAAAGCTGCTAAGAAAGCTAAAGCAGCAAAGCAGATGAAAGCGGTGGCCGAGGCACTCAAGCAGTTGTTAGCTTGCTGACTGGGAATGTTTGCCTTGTGCCATCGCTTGCAGGGTTATGTCAGAAGTTATGTCATTCAAGTGAAGTCATTGCACGTTGCGACTCCTGAAAGGGCCGCGATGCATTCCTTTGCGAAGCAGCTGAGCGGTTTGGAGCAACGCCTTTCTAGCCTAGCAGTTCACCTGGCCAAGACCTTGGGTCTGACGCGTACAAAGACCACGAGCAAAAATTTCTGGTTATTTGCGCGACACAAGAGGCCCTATTTTTCCCTTTGGGTATACTGCACAGATTCATTTTGGAGTGAAGATGAACCGGCGTAGCCTCGGCGGCCAGCAAGCCTGCGTCATTCGTGGCGATGTCCGTGGCCTCGGGCACAGGCAGCTGGTTGTTCACGAAGAACTTCTTCGCCACGCGCTTCCGGTCGGCAGTGCGGCGCTTCTTGTAGGCCGTCACCTCCGTGCTGCCCAAGTTCTTGAAGGCCCGTTTGCGGTGCTGCAAGACCGCCGTCCACAGCTCGCCCACCTTCTCCCCCTGTGCGGCCGCAGGCGCACTGCGATGTTGACGCGGCTGCCGCGGCTGTCCGCGCTTGCTCTTCAAGGCCTCCTCGTGAAACTTCTCACGCCACTCGTCCGGGACCCGCATCATGGCAGCGTTGTAGACGTAGTTGTGCTCCTCGTAGTGGGCCCGGAAAGCTTTCAATGACCGCGTGACGCTGCCACGGCCTTTGATGGTATTGCAAGCTTTGCTCATCTTGGCATCATCGCAAAAGAGGCACTTGTCCCCTGAATTTGTCCATGCAGCCTTGCCGATCTTTGTAGGCGAGAAGAAGCAAGGCAAGCGCGCACAGAAGCCGCTGCAAAGCTTCGGCATGGCTGCAAAAGATGGCGCGACAGAAAGCAATAAGCACGTGGGTAATTGCTGTTCTCAAGACTGGCTTTGAGCAGTATCCATGCAGCGGCGGATCAAGCATATCAATGCGCCAGTCCATGTGGTGAGTATGCAACGTATGATGATATCAATGCTGTAGCCAAATTCTGTCGGCAAAATATCTTCAATACCTATGTGCCTTCCTTACATGTCAGCTTTGCCAAGACTGCAAAACAAGCAGAAGCAATCCGTCGAGATCGTTTTAGACCAAACCCCGAAAAGAAAATGGAACATCAGGATCACTGTCACAAACACTCTACTTAAATAAATGCAACACGAAAGTTCAAAATAATAGTCACCGAGAAGCATTTCAAAAGCAAAATTCCAAAACCCATGCAAGGGAAGAACCGGATGCTCGGACCTACCTACAAACCAAACCTTTTGGCACCAGTGATCCGACTGCAGCTCAATTCCAAAACAAAACCACAAAACCCAGGCGCTCTTTTTGGGCACGATGCTCGGCCATCAGCTCTACAAAAGATTGTGAATTCCCTGCTGTGCTGTGCGGTGGCGCTGAACCGGTGGTCCGCAGCACACCAGCGTCAGAGATATAATGGTACAAGAGTGTGGCAGGGCTTTGCCTGTGCTTCTGCTAGCCGCCGCCTCCACACACACATGCATGAAATAATATCGTATATATATAGCAGCCATACGCCGCTCAGTCTTGGACCTCCTCAACCTTTGCCTCGTCCTTCGGCGTCTTCTTCGCGGGCTCTGCGGGTGTTGCCTTGCGACGCCGCGTGGTGGCCGGCGATGGGGAATGAGACGAATCCTGGCTGCTGTTGCTGCTGCTGACCTTCTTGTTCTTCTTGCTTTTCTTGTCTTTCTTGGCCTTCTTGTCGGCTTTCTTGTCAGCTTTCTTGGCCTTCTTTGACTTCTTCTTGTCGTGGCTGGAATTGCTCTTCTCTTCGCCCCCGCTGCT